CTGCAGTTTTGTTCTTGTTTTTGCGAACTGATTAACTTCGCAACGTTTTCTAAGTAAGTTTATTGAAAAATCTTCATAGTCAATTATTTTTCATGATTATACAGTTTTTTTCTATAAATTTTTTTTCAGTTTGCTTGAAATTACTAGATAATATAGCAAGCATATATAACTTTAAAATTTTAGTCCCTTCTCGACCCAGTTTTCATTTCTCCGAGCAGTTAAGTTTTTGATTTGAAAATTGGTTAGAAGCTAAATTCGCCCCTAGGTTTGCAACCGCTTCTTTTTCGGCTGAAAGTTCTTGCTCAAGGTGGCGGAACATAATCTTACGATCAACAAGAGTTTCGAGTCAGAATAATTTTTCGAGCCAATACAAGTTTCATATAACGAATTATAAAACTAATTTAAAGCCAACTTTAAACTTAACTCAAACTCCATTTCTTGTGACAGAATGGAAGACCTGGAAGATGAAACAGCCACGTTAGGTTGCCTTTTCTGAAACCTAAAATCTGACGTTCTAATCAATTGTCATAGATTTGCCCAAAAGATTTGATTATATATAAGAAGTGATCCTTATTTTACGTTTCAAAAGTGTTATTTTCTATGTCATTGACAAAATTTAAATCGATTGTTTTTTTTTCAAAGCAAAAAAGAGGAAATTAATAAAAAATTAATTAACAAAGCATATAATGGAGACAATGTCAAAACCGTAGAATATACTCTAGATTGCATTTAAAATTCTCTTTACGATGCCGGTTTTTGTTTAGATCCAAAATTTATTGATGGTAGAAAGGATGTGCTTGTCACGCGTTGTGAATCGCGCTTTTATCTTGTGGTGGAATTAAACCATCGATTCCCTGTCACAAAATTCAACCAGTTCTGGTTTTTCAGTCACGTAAGAAAAGTCACCGCCCCCAGTGATTAAAACCTTATTGAGCGGTTGCACGTTTTCCTCACTCTGCGACCGTTTACTGTTCGGACAAACACCCGAATCAATGCTGTCAGTTGTCGGCTGCGACACCAATTTCAACTTGTTATTCGTACTGTACACGTTTCCAGATACAGACCGGTAGTTGTTATTGTTGTTAATGTTTGTGTATGTGGTCCCGCTACATCCCACACTCTCCGGGACGCTGTCGGTTGGAGTTTCGGCGTTACTATTGGGACGAGAGTTGCTCGTTTGCGAAGTTTAAGTACTCGTTAGGCGACTCAGCTCCGTTTCCATTGCACTGCCTGAATTGGTCTTCGTTCATCGGACGTCGCGATGTGATGAACATATACTCGGATGTATCATGGTGTTCAATTAATGGCCTCCCGCTTTCATTCAGGCCATAATTACCATCATCATTAGTCATAGCTATGGGTGGCTTATGATGACCGTTCACATTAACAGGCACGCTAACGAGCAACTGATTATGCGGCCGGTAGTTCATCTTTTTCCGTTTCATTAACGCGTAAATAGTAATGATTAGAATCATAACTACCAATATGACAACTAGGCCACAAGCAACAGCTATTAAAGTTGTAAAAGTGTCAATCGAAAGCCCTTCTTGCGTTGATTTACGAGCACCATTCATACCTGGACCATTATCAGCGCCAGTTGGGTTAAAATTACCCATGTTGTAATCAGGCTCAAAGCGAAAAGTACTTTGATCACCAGTCGGGCTCGAACTTGAGACCTTGGGATCAGGATCCCGTGGTCCAGGAACATAAATACTTCCGCCGTTGTTCACTGCACCGCCCGGTGTGGAGTTCTCGGGAGTCCAAGGGTACTTTCTGGTGGTCCCGAGCGACAAATCGTATGATATTTGGTCATAATTTTGGGTTGTGCTTTCGTTTCCGATTAGGTTTATTTTGGGCGTTATCGAAGGTGGAAACTGTGTAGACGTTTGCCACACTTCGTAGAGGTTACTCGAGGCTATCTGTTCGTCGAGTACGAGTTTGATGCTGAGAACATCGTAGCCAACGTAGTTGTTGGCAATACACGCGTAGATCAGCTTCGAATCGGATGGTCTGACGTCATGAATGACTAATGTGCCATTTAGGAGGACATAATAGTGATCATCCTAAACAGAATTCATTTTGTATTACTGCTCAAACAAAAACTGTCTATTCACTGTATTTTTCTGTTTTTACTCCATTTTCGTTTATTATGGAAATTTTAGGCATTTTCTCGAATGCATTCTTAAAATCAAAAGTTCAATACTATTTTGATTTTATATAAAAAGAACTAACTGAAACTTTATCTCTAATTTGATCCAGGATTTTTAAAAAGCAACTAAGTACTAAAGTCTGCAGACAACGATTTTTGCTGGAATTTTTTCGGAGCGTTTTCTGAATTCAGTTTTAGGGCAACTGTTTCCCTGAGAGGCCATGTTTTGTTCGGAAGTTTGCAGCAGGCAAGAACACCTGACGATAAAAGAGTTTGGTATTGAATGAAACTGGCATTTCAGAGAAAATGCGATGAAAAGGCTCGGAGTCTGACCATTAACATTTTTTCCCGCACTCATAAATTTAGCGGAAGCGTGGGCCGAAAATTAGCGAAAATATCGGCTGATGATTTTGTGCATGTGTTCATTAATTAGTGAAGTTATGTGCTACATCCCTCCTTCTCCCTTGGTTTGATTTTTTCTTTTCTTTTCTCATCCGTATTAATAGCGACTGGCTGCTTGTTATCTCACCCGTTGGTAAGTATTGATTTATGGGGAGTTAAAAGGCCTTTGGAGAGAATAAAGAAGGCATTAATATATGCAGAAGTAATTTTAGTGTTTCCCTCAAGTCAAAAAGTCAATTTCCGTTTCTTACAGTAGCAGGAAACTTTTTGATTAATTTGCAAACAAAAAAAATATTCTCTGATAACTTCAAATTTTAAAAAAAAATGCACCCAATTTTTGATTTGTGGCTACTTCAAAAGGTCGCTAAAATTACTTAGAAGATCTCAGTTTATCTTTTTTTCCCTGAAACTTATCTTTTTTTGGAGTATTTTTCGCAAATAGACACATCAAGAAAAATTCAAATATCTTGAAACTGCTAAAACCATCAACAACCATTGAAAGTGTATTGGCTAAACAGAGTGCTTAATTTTTTGTCAGGTTTTTCTAATAAAGTTCTAACCTTTCGAAAGATTCAATTTGAAATGTTTTTTAACAATTCATATTTTGATTAAATAATTAATAAGCAAATAATTTATTATTTTGTTTTAAAATCATGGTTTTCTTCAGGTTTATATTAAAATCAGATTTGATTCAGATCCAATGAGAAAACGAAATCTTGAATTAGCTTTGTTCTCAAACAATTGAAGCGTTAAATTGACATTTCAAATCAATCATAAAGTAATCTATCGATTTTGTGTGACGTCATGGTTGAAACGGCGGGATATAGTCATAATCAATACTACTTTTGAGTAGAAAGTTAATTTATAACTCCATTTTGCTTTAGGAAGAATAGTTTTTAGAGTTAATTGGATCGATAGACCCACCCATTGCCTATTAGCTTCAGTTTTTCTGCCACACTTTTTTTTTGTTCTGTCCCTTTTCTTTTTAAACAAAGTTTGCAAAAGGCAGGGTCTTTTCAGTATTTTATTAGAGCTCGCAAAATGAATTTGCTCTCTAAAAAAGTCGACAATTTTTTTTAAAGAAGCTAGAGTGCAGTTAAATAGGGTCCCTTTTTGATTGTAAAGAAGGGCTTTTCAGCCGATTGGTGGACAATAGGACCTGTCAAACTTCATTGTTTGGCTATTTTGCAAAATCTCTCCTATTTAAATGCGTTAAACACCCGACCTTTCGTCTTGAAATGCATCAATTTACCAAATTATAACTCACTAAGCCACAACAGACCTACGCACCTATTTCACTTCAGCTGAAAAACACTGTTTTGTTCAGCTTGATTAGAAAGAATTGGCGAATTGTAAAAAGTACTTGATCTTAACTCAGGCATATACGGGGTAGAAACAAGCGCTTTCAGACTACTCTTTGAAAACAAGACATTAAGAGGAATTCTTAAGTAGTCCTCGCAAATCCGCCATTCAATTTAACCTCTTACTATTTACACCGTAACTGGAAAAATAATAAAGTGAACCACGTGATTGTTCCGATTCACAACCGTTTTTGTTTTTTTTTACCTAGAAAAATGGAAACTTGAGTGAACTTATACACCATACAACAAACAACCAAAAAAGAAGTAATAACCGAAAGAAGATATGACTAGTTAAGTAACCCAGGTAGCCATAATCAAAACATCCTATTTCGCGGCGATTTTTGTTTTATTTCACAGACTATTTGTCCCTTTAGTACGCGTGAATTCCTAATTGATCATCTCCGATCAAAAAAAATATATTATAAGAGCTAATGTACTGGGTAAGTTAATAAAAAACCGATTAGAAACAATCAAATAATCATCACTTTTCTCTGTAACTTCAACCAACTAGCAATGCATCATTGAAAAATTGTTGCAATTTTTGACCAATTCTCTTACAGTTTATGAAAATTTTTCCAAACCTGATGAAATTTTTTTAAATTTCAATAGGTGGCATTTATATTAAAAATGAAATTTCAGAGACAAAAAACAACCATTCCCTAATTTGGGAGAGGGATTTTTCATTAGGCGCGGTCAAAGTTATTTTTTTTTGCCTCAACTGGTCAGGATATCTATTTGATATTGTATCAGAAATTTTCATCGATTTTGAAATTTAATTTTTTCCCCATAATTTTAAAATTGAAATGTTTAAGAAACGTTTGAGAAAAGGACAAAGAGAAAATTATGATGTAACAATTAAATTATCTACCCCAAACAAAAATCTACCCCAAATCTGAGCAAAAATTTGCCCCAAAGAATGACGGCACAATGACTTCGAGGGAGTGCTGAGACTTTTTTCAGACAAATTTGGAATATCTAAATAACAACTTTAAATGAAGTTTGCTTTAAATCTGATAAAGATAAAATTACTGAGCTCAAAATTCAAAAGCTACACTTCACTTTATCTAAAACAAGACTGCTAGTATCAGGGCAAAGCTTCATTTTCTGACTGCTCTTTATCTGGTATCGAATAGTTTTTAGTAAATTATGAATTGGCGAAACTATGAACTTTAGAATGACCATATAAAAATTTAGTTATGACAATTTGAGTCGTTCAATTTGGAGCACTTTTGTAGAGTGGGGTAATTTGCCACCCGTGTAAACTTTAAAACGACCGTTTTGGACATGTTACTATAAGAGTGCGCATACGCGGTTGAGTCCATGCAGATCAAGAGATCGATCCCCCGAAGGACCAGGGTTATGTAGAACAGAAACTGAAAAAAAACCACCCCGATCTTATAAATTGCTTACTTTCTTCAAATGTAGGAACAAAAACGGGGAGATGATTGAAAATTGTCAATTTGGATAATAAATAACTTTTAGAGAATTTTCTAAAACTTTTACCGTTTATGCGGTGCAACTTTCTAAATCATAAAAAAATCAATAGCAAGTGTTAGAAATTGAATGGTACAAGGAACAAATACAGCCAATTAGCCTGCTTCAAACCTATTAAAATTTTCAAATGTCCATATTTTGATTGTGGCAGAAAATTGCTTAAAACTATTATTTTGATCGGTGAAGTTGGTTTGAATTGAAAAAACACTCTAAGCCTGAATTTTTATTTGCTTCTTTGAAAGTCGGAACAATATACTGGACATATTTCATTGATTTTCTCAAAGAAAAATTTCATACTTGGCAAAAAATTTACTCTAAATATAAAAGTTATTGAAAAAAAAAATACAAAAAAACTACAAAATTGTACATTAATTGCCCAATAACGTTCTTTGCTGTTTTGAAATATAATTATGAGGTTTAACTAAGTCCAATTAATTGTTTAGAGACTCTTCTTACATAATACATTGAAACTTCTACACAAAAAATGAAATACTTTTATATTATTTTTTTATAGTGCTATTTGGCTCTGTAAATTGTCATTTTGTAGCATTTTCAGTGAAATAAACTTTTTTCCCTGTAGGACGTAGAAAAATATTGAACTTATAAAATGGTTTTTAAAAATCGGGATTTCCAAGCAAAATACTAAAACTAATAAAGCATATTTTTCATCTGTCTCTGTCAGGGTCTTAAAATTCTTTATACAAAAATTGAAAGAGAGTAAGGCAGGTGTTAATACTATTATATTTTTTGCAAATTTATCAGACCGGATATTTAAAGTCTGTCGTGTTTTAAGAAGTCAAACTAGCTTGCCTCATTAAATTCAGGACGATTTCTGAGCCGGATTAAATACTGCCGCTTACACGTTAATAACACGAAACATACCACATCAGCCAAACTGTTAATTAGAAACCCTATAACTTTGCAAAAAAGGATCACCGTTTAAATTTTGTTTTGAAATTGAGCTGAGGGCGTCAATACACTTCAGAAGATAAAAAAATTTGTTCGAGCTGTTTGTTATAAGCAACCAAATTGATTTGAAGAAATCAATTATTACCTATCACACGTTTTAACACCGATCTCTTCAATTATTACTCCGACTTTTGATGCAAAAGTAACGGAATATTTGTGCTCGGGGTGGGTTTTTTCTTCAGACAAATTTCGACTTTTTAGCTAGCCATTTTCGAAATTTTTTTTACATTTATTCAAATGGTATTGTTGTCCTAAGCTCAAATTTGAAAAAATATTTCACCTGTGATCATTTTTTTGTAAAGCTATGGGGGTTTAAAGATTGCCATTTTGGCCAATTTGGGACAATTAACGCGCGAGATATTTCGCGCTATTAACGCGTAAGCGGAGAATTAATCTGTCTTAAAATCGTTCCAAGTTGGTTGAAAGAAGTTAAATTGCCATAATTGATTTGTTGCAAGGAACGAAATCTATCTTTTTGTACTTAATATGGCGTGTGGGGGGATGATTTTCATAAAAAATTTCAAATTATAGAGAAAAAAGTTTTCATTTTATTTTTTACAATTATTTTTTCGTTACTACTGCTCCATAAAACCTTAAAAGGTTGCGAAACATTCAGGGCTTCGCCCTGATACGAGCAGTCTTGTGTTTTTATTTTCAATCAAATCAAAAATATCCAAAAACACAACAA